CCACGGGGCTGTGGAACAGCTGTCTGGTGGCTGAAGGAGGTGAGGAACAGAGATGCCAGCCCCAGAGCTCAGGGTGCAGCTTGCACTGGGCTCCGCCATGGCCCAGCTGTGTGGAACAGCCGGGCCAGGTGCCGCCAGGGCAGGGAGAGGCTGCCCGAGTCGCAGGACATGGTGCGGAGAGGACCGCTGAGCGGAGCAGTCTGGGTTATCTAAAGGCCATCTGGGCTGGAGGAGACTGGGTCCTAAGTGCCTCTGGCCTCAGCCCGCAAAACAAATAGCATGGAGAGCATTCCCATTCGCATTCGCATATGGCATCAGCCCAGTGACCCTCAGAGAATTCCCAGCACAATAAAAAGAATCTTTGCAACATTTAAAACCCCGTCACCCTACAGGTGAGTCAACAGTCTGGGCCACTTCCACCCAGCTGTCTCTGGGATCCAGGGGTCTGGGCCAGACAGCTTTATGGGGAGGGGTCCCTGGTCTGCAAACATCTGCCCTCCCAGGGCAGCAGAAGAGGCTGTTTTGCCAGTGTCCAGCTTCTCCAGCCTGACCTGACCCCAGACCCCTTCCTCCGCCGACAAAGGGCGGCTGCCCTCCCTCCTGCCCACTAATCTGCCCATTGTCAACAGCCTCCCAATCCACATTTGGAAGCTTCTCTTGGCTGTTAGCTAATTGCCCAATTACTTTATTTCCCTAGCAAAACTCTTCAGGCGGCTAGGAATCCACATTCGGAAGCCCTGGCCTGTGTCTTGGGAAAGCCTCAGAAGTCTGGGAGATCGGCCCTCTGTTTGTCTGTCTGTTTCTCCTGTACCTCCCCGCCCCCGCCCAGACACAGCCCCTGGGTTAGCTGAATCTTCAGCCACCTAGGGCTGGTGGCTGAGCCTGGCTGGCTTCAGGGGGCACTGGAAGCAGGCCGAGGGTGGAAGACCCCACTTTGGGTCTCAATCACTAACTCGGGGACGTTATCCTCTCTCTGAGCCTCACTTCCACTTTGCACTGAAACTTGAGGACAAGAGCGTGGTCTGCATAGTCCGTTTCAGCTGCAAGCTTCCTGATGGCACAGACTCGCAGGGCCACGGAAGAGCTGGGGCACCTGCTAGATGAACCCTCTGTTGGTGCTAACTGCTCCCAGACACCCCTCCCCAAAAGAGCACCCCACAATCAGAGGGATCTCTTTCCCAACGATGAATCGACTGCCCAGGATCCCAGAGGTCCCAGGACCCTGCGAAGCAGGCAGAATTGGTCTGCAGAGAGGCTGGACATTGACCGGGTAGTTCCAGTGACTGTGGAGCCCAGGGAGGGCTCAGTCCCAGGCTTGCCTCTGTGCTAACAGGCTAACCCAGAAGCACCAGCAAGACTTCTAGGGGAGGCAAGGAGTGGAGCAGGGGAGGGTCCCTCTGCATTGCTGTCTCCTCTGGAAAATGAGTTTGCAGTTTAGCTGGTCAGTTACACCAGTGTAGGGGGACTCCTGACCAACCAGCGACGCCCTGCGATGCGCAGACCTGAGACGTCTCCTAGGCAGGAGGCATCTGCCAGTCAGAGAAGCAGTGGCACCAAGGGCCTGGGACAGCAGGTCCCTACAGGACCGCAACAGTGGTCCGCGAGGTCTCCCTGTGCATTGAGATGCTGGGGCTTGGGAGGGGGTGTGGCATGCAAGGGCAGCCTGAGTGTCAGATCCTTGGCACCGCTCCGGCTTAAGCCGCTCCGCTGGGGCTCCTCTCACCCCGCAGCAAGGCTGGGGGGCTTCTGCATGTTTACGGAACACCAGCCCCAAACAGCTACCAGGGCCTCAGGCCACCGGGCCTCGGTCGCCTGTAAATGTGACACTTCTGCACCTTTTGGCCTGACTTAAGACCCAAATGTTTGCACCAAGTAAGTCCTCTCCCTGCTAATCACTTGCAAAGAGAGGGCTCAGCTACTCTTGGAGGAAGGCTACACTTGTCACAAAGAGGGGCCAGATGCAGCCTCGTATTGCAGCGGACGTTCAGACTATGAGATACGAGCTCCAAGAGGGGATGTGAACGCCTCCTTGTGAGTCACACAATTTCCTGGGGAAAGGAGAGGGGCGCAGACAAGCAGCTGAAGCCAGGATTCTGTACTTCCCTAAGATTCCCTCCCCACCCCACCCCGGGGGTCAGCTGCCAGGATTCTGTGCTGCTTCTTACCTCTTACCGCCACACGTGACCGAATTCCTGTCTCCTTCCCTTCCACGTAGACTAGTGGTCTGGCCTTGGGAAGGGCATGGGACAGCTTTGTGCCCCAGTTTCGTGGGCAGCACAGCACAGCAGGTGCAGCTGCCACTCGGGACACGCACATCCCCTATCAGAGCACTGGCTCCTGTCCCTGCTGTTCCACTCCTCACCTAGATTCCTCTTACTGTGCCTGAAAAGGTGGCAGATAGTAAACCAAGTACTCGGGCGCCCGCCACCTACCTGGGAGAGCTGCACGGAGTTTCAGAATCCTGGCTTCAGCTGGGCCCAACTCCAGTTGTTGTGAGCATCTGGGGAGCAAACCACTGGTTGATGGCCGGCGCCGCGGCTCACTAGGCTAATCCTCCGCCTAGCGGCGCCGGCACCCGGGTTCTAGTCCCGGTTGCTCCTCTTCCAGTCCAGCTCTCTGCTGTGGCCCGGGAGTGCAGTGGAGGATGGCCCAAGTGCTTGGGCCCTGCACCTGCATGGGAGATCAGGAGAAGCACCTGGCTCCTGGCTTCAGATCAGTGCAGTGCGCCGGCTGCAGCGGCCATTGGAGGGTGAACCAACAGAAAAAGGAAGGCCTTTCTCTCTGTCTCTCTCTCTCACTGTCCACTCTGCCTGTCAAAAAAAAAAAAAAAAAAGGCACTAGTTGAGCGATCTCTCTTTCAAATAAAATTTTAAAAATTAGAAAAAGAAATAATAATGGCAACTCTCTACCCCAGTGCTTGGGGGGTAGAGTTAATCACACCCATAAGCAAGCCTGGTCCCTCGCACTGTCAGTCAGAGATCATCGTCAGTGTTCTTATTCCTCCCCCTCATCCAGGTCTAAGCCCCCTCACATACTGCTGGAGTCCCTCCATGCCTCTGCAGATGCAAATGCATGTGGACGGGGACATGAAGGGCAAGGTGTGCACAGGGGCCTTATTCCAGCAAAGGAGTGATGGCAGACCATCGAGACGCAGCTACGTGTCTGGATAAGTTCCAAGAATGCAATGTTTGAGGCGAGGCCCACATCAATCTACATGGCAAAACACAGCTACTGAGTCTATACCAGGAATGAGAGCGCTCCGCTTGGTCAAAGCTGAATGGAGCAATCCCGATAGGCTTGAGGGATTTGTTCAAAAACAACTTGGTTATATTAAAACCACTGATGCAGACAAAGCTGGAAGTTTGCTGAGTTCAGGACCTTCCCTTCCGGTGAGTGCCCCCCCCCCCCCCCGCTCTGATCCCTCTCCTCAAATTTGTGTCTGTATTTCCTTGCATTTGTCCCGGGCGAAAACTGCTGTGCAGGACACGACACATGATGTCTCTCATGCAGCAGAAACTCCGCCCAAGCACCGGCAGGGCCTCTCTCCTGCCTGGCACGCGGGAGGAGGACAGAGGCAGAGGGTGACACGAGTGACCTGGTCATCACAAAGCATAGCCACAACGGGGTCAAACGCCCACCTCACTGGGAAGAGCGGCCAGGGTGCTCAGCCCACTCTTGTCCTCCTCCACCATCTACTCGCCTACCCCCGACAGAATACGGGATGACACTGTCAAGTTGCAGGAAGGGCTTCCTCCTGCACATCCGCAAACCCCCTGTGCCAGCAGGGACCCTGGAGCCAACCACCGACCTGCATTCACCTCCAAGCCAGCAGGTCCCTTCACCTCTGCTGCAGCACTATGACGGATACACCTGCTCCTCACACTGTCTGATCACCTCTTCAGAGCACGGAACAATGCCCAGCACAGAGTGGGCATTCAAGGCTGCATGGTGCCCCTGTTCCTGAGGGTTTTAGGAAGCCCCAACCTTGGGAACACAGACTTCAGGCAGAGACTAACGATACAGCAAACCCAAATAGAGCTTGCACCAGTTGCCCGGCCCTGGGCCAAACAGCTCCCATGTATTGAGCCAAAGAACCTTCTTCCTAACCCTGGAGGTAGCCCCGATTACCATCCCTCCACTCCTTCACCTGAGCCAATGGAGGCACTGAGAAACTGGGTATACTAGCCGGTCAAACGTCAAGTAAGCAGCAGATCCCATATGTAAAGGCAGCCATTCCGGAATGAGGGTTTGAGGAGGCACTGGGGGTCTCCCACTCCAAGGGGCCCCCAGTGCCTGTGGCTTTCTGATTCCTGTCCCTTATCCTGTGTCTAGGAACAACCTGGACTCCAGCTGAGCACCAGTGTTGAGAGCGGCCTGGCCAGAATCCTGCGGCTCTCTGCATGGGAGTCTCACCGTGGGCTGAGTCACTGACAAGACACTTGCAGGGTCGCTTTCCCTGGGACTGCCAGGTTCCCTCCTTCCTCTGTCATGGGTGAGGTCGAGGGCTGTGACACAGCCCTAAAGGACCTATGCAGAGCAGAAGAACAAAGGGGAGCTTGCAAGGGCTGAACGGTGGCATGGGATGGCGCAAGGGGCTTCTGTGACAGCAGGCAGAGCCGGCAGGAATGCATAACCCTTTCACTCCTTGCTTCGTGGTGAACAAACCTACACCCAGACTGACCTCCAGGAAGATCTTTAAGCAGCTGGCTGATGGGACTCCCCTTTCCATCTAAGAGACTCGGTTTCTCATAGACCAGGACTAGGGTAGAGCCCAGGATATGGAACAGGCACTAAAAATGTTGAGCTGAGACAGCACGCCCGAGTGGCATCCACACCGCTCTTTGAGTCTTTTCCAGACAGCCCCCTCCTCAGGGCTCAGGGACCTGTCTGGCTGCTGGGCTCCCAGGAGGTCCGAGGGGTGTGACCTCCCTCCCTCCCTTCCTCACTCCCTCCCACCACCCCAGGCCAGCCCAGGCCCGGCTATAAAGCTGGCCCAGCCCTGGCTCTCAGCACACGCAGCTGCACCCCAGGCCCTCCTGCAACCTCTGAGACAGAGCACCATGTGGCCCCTGTGGCTCTGCTGGGCACTGTGGCTTCTGCCCCAGGCCGGGCCCGGATTGGCCCTGACCGGGGAGCAGATCCTGGACAGCCTGCTGCAGCAGCTGCACCTCCGCCAGGCGCCCGTCCTGGACAGAGCCGACGTGGAGGGCCTGGCCATCCCTGCCCATGTGAGGGCCCAGTACCTGGCCCTGCTGCAACACAGCCGCCGAGACCGCTCCCGCGGGAAGAGGTTCAGCCTCAGCCAGAGCTTCCGAGGTGAGCCCCTGCCCGGCTGCCCCTGGGCCCGGGGGTGGTGTCGGAGGGCCCTGGTTTGTGGACTCTGGTGAGGTCCATGGGGCCCCGTGCAGTGAGGAGGAGCCGTGGCTGGGAGGATGGCAGCCTGGGCCATCTGGACTCTGGCTGTGCACAGAAGGTGCCCTCGTGGCCAGGCCCCTGGACAGGAGGAGAGCCGAGGGGAGCACAGGCAGGACCTGCTGGGGCCCCGTTCTCCCCCGGAGCACTCTGGTCTGAGCTTGTCCAGGAGCATCTCCCTGCCGCCTGGTCCTCTGGGACATCTGCCTTCTGTCTCCCCTTGCTGTGCGCACTGCAGACACTGGGTGGGGACAGAGGTGAGTTTGAAAAAAATACTTGAGTCAAAGGCCAAGTTACTCCCGTTGGGGCCAACCCAGCCCCTGTGCTGGGAGCCACCCCCAGGGCTTCCAAGGCCAGCAGCCTGCAGGAGGGTTCTGAGCCTCAGCCTCTCCCCTGAGGGGACCTTGGCAGCCCTCCTGCTGGGTGCAGATGGCCAGGCCCGAGGGCGTCCTCAGCTACCTGGCCGTGCCCAGAGCGCCCGCTGACCCCGCTCCTGTCCCCAGAGGTGGTGGGCAAGTTCCTGCTGTCGGACGCCTCCACGCACCTGCTGGTGTTCGGCATGGAGAAGCGGCTGCCGCCCAACAGCGAGCTGGTGCAGGCCGTGCTGCGGCTCTTCCAGGAGCCGGTCCCCAAGGCGGCGCTGCGCAGGCACGGGCTGTCCCCGCGCCACGCCCGGGCGCGGGTCACCATCGAGTGGCTGCGCGTCCGTGAGGACGGCTCCAACCGCACCTCCCTCATCGACTCCAGGTGGGAGTCGCGGCGGGGGCGGCGGGGGTAGGGAGGTGCGCCGGGCCCGGGGGCGGGGGGGGGCGGGGGGGCAGAAGGGTGCGGCGCGGGGGTGGGGGGGGCGGGTAGGGAGCGTGGGCGTGCAGCGCCAGAGGGGCCGCCCTGGGCCTTCGGGACTGCGCGGCCCAGCCCCGACCGCTCAGACTGGGCTCTGTCTCAGGCTGGTGTCCCTCCACGAGAGCGGCTGGAAGACCTTCGACGTGACCGAGGCCGTGACCTTCTGGCAGCAGCTAGGCCAGCCCCGGCAGCCGCTGCTGCTGCTGGTGTCTGTGCACAGGGAGCACCTGGGTCCCGGGGCATCCAGCGCACACAAGCTGGTGCGTTTTGCCCCGCAGGGGGAGCCTGGCGGCGTGCAGGGCGAGCCGCAGCTGGAGCTGCATACCCTGGACCTCAAGGATTACGGGTAGGTGCCAGGTGGACGCGGTGAATGGGAGTCCAGGCCCCTGTCCCCTGGGCTGGCTGCTGGGGCGGGGCAGCGGGGCGGTCTTCTAGTGGTAGAAGTTTTATCAGTTATTGAAAAACATCTGAAATTTTTCAGGGGACTTTCATGTTGTCGTTGAATCATGCATTTGATTGCAGTCTTCTGTTTTTATTTACTGTTCTCCATGATGAGTCTTTGGAAAAACATTAGCGTTAGTTACCAGGGTTGAACACCTTCCTCCGGGTTTTGGCGACTGCCCTCTTCCTGGGACAAAGGAACTCTTCAGAGCAGACAGTGCTGTGTGCGGCAGGCTGCCCCTTGCCTGTGGATTCTGCATTGTGGTTTCAGCCAGCCTCGGATGGCCAATATTCAGAATAAAAATACAGCTGGAACGGACATGTACAGACTTTTCCTCTTGCCAGTACCCCCTAAACAATATAGTAGAACAGCTAGAGATGAGGCATCTACATGACATTATTATAAGTAATCTAGAGGGGCCGGCGCCGTGGCTCACTTGGCTAATCCTCCGCCTGCGCCTCAGCATCCCATGTGCACGCTGGGTTCTGTCCCGGTTGCTCCTCTTCCAGTCCAGCTCTCTGCTGTGGCCCGGGAAGGCATCTGGAGGATGGCACCAGTGCTTGGGTGCCTTCACCCGCATGGGAGACCAGGAGGAAGCACCTGGCTCCTGGCTTTGGATCGGCACAGCGCTGGCTGGCCTTAGCGGCCATTTAGGGTGTGAACCAACGGAAGCAAGACCTTTCTCTCTCTCTCTCTCTCTCTCTCACTGTCTTACTGTATCTGTCAAATAAATTTAAAAAATAAGTAATCTAGAGATGATTTAAAGCATACAGAATTGCATGTGTTATATGCAAATACTATGCCATTTTATTTAAGGGACTTGAGCACTGGTAGAGTTTGTTATCCAAGCGGGGGGGGGGGGCCTGGAACCCATCCCCCATGGATACCACTACACAAGTCCAGCTCTGCCTTCAGCCTGCTGCAGCCTCCTGTCATGTCACCGAGCACATCGGGGTCTCCGTGCCCGACACGGTTCACCTGAGGATGAAATGAAGGTGTCACCTGAGATAACATCTGGGAAGCACCTGGCTCCCTCAACAAACCGTGGCTGATTTATCCTTGATGTTTGTTCATCCTCTGTCATAAATACCCAACTTTGTGAACCTAATGAGAGAAGGGTCATCATAAGCCTCCCTCCCAGATGCCCCACTTCTGGGTCTCCTGCCCTCAGCTGGCCTCTGACCCTGCCTCTCTTTGTCCCCACAGAGCTCAGGGCAATTGTGACCCTGAGGTGCCACTGACCGAGGGCACCCGCTGCTGCCGCCAGGAGATGTTCGTGGACCTGCAGGGGATGAAGTGGGCCGAGAACTGGATCCTGGAGCCCCCAGGCTTCGTGGCCCACGAGTGTGTGGGCAGTTGCCGGCAGCTGCCAGAGCCCCTGTCTTTCAAGTGGCCGTTTCTGGGGCCACGGCGGTGCATCGCCTCGGAGACTGCCGCATTGCCCATGATCGTCAGCATCCAGGAGGGAGGCAGAACCAGGCCCCGGGTGGTCAGCCTGCCCAACATGAGGGTGAAGCAGTGCAGCTGTGCCTCGGACGGGGCACCTGTGCCCAGTAGGCTGGAGCCATAGCCTCCCCAGTGTAGCTCCTGAGGCCTCTGCCCAGACACGGCCATAGCGGCAGTCTTAACGTAGGTCTTATCTGTATACTTAGTTACCACTGTCCCAATTTAGTGCCCCCATGTAGCCTTTGCCCTGTGTTCTTCCACTTCCTGTCCTTGTCCACCGCCCATCCTAAGCACTTACGTGAGTAAAGAATGCAGCTGTAGTGGGAGACCCTGGCCTGCTTATTAAAGGACCAAGCTGAGCAATGGACAGATGTTCCGCGGAGAAGTTCTGTTCTCTGGCTGGTTAATTCTCAACTGAGTGTGGGACAGCAAAACCTTATGACGAGAACTGAGGAAGCTGAACTGGTTTACTCTATTCTATGGTGAAACAAAGGAACAAAAATCCCTGCTTCTCCTAGACAGGGAGAATGTCTGAAAAAGAGGCCCCTGTCCTCCCAGATACTGACCCCTTCGGGACTGTTGTAAACACACCCAAGTTCCCTCTCCCCAGATAGGGTACCAGGAGGAAGGCTGAGGGCTTCTGGCTGGGGCAGTGGGCATGGAACCAGGCACTTGACTTCTGCGTCTGGTGGGGCTGCACGATGGGACTTCAAGCACATGCAGAAGACTTTGGGCCACCACATTCTCTTGAAAAGGGAGGAGTGGGCTCCGGCTGCAAGACCTCATTGCTGCTAGGACCTGCCCTGCCCTTCAGAAACTCAGCACTGAGGGTGCTGCCCTGTTGTAGGGAACTTAGCACCAAAGACCACTGGTCTTTACATTGTTTTTTTCTTTTTAATGTAGCAAAAACAACTGAAGGTAGAAAAGCCGAATAAATAAAGCAAAACGATGTTTCACTCAGTGTATTTAATTTCTGGCACTCCTTACAGAGGAGAGAAGGGAGCAATATTGGGGAATGAAAGCAACGTAGTGATCTCAAGACAGGGTGGACCAAAGACCCCCCAGCTTCTAGAGGGCGTTGAAGATGCTAATAACTACATTTAAAGTTTTCATTTCGGATTTTTCTCTTTTCCCACACAAGTCTCATTCCAAAGGGAGTCTTGCATGCTCTTTGAAAGCACTTTAACCCTGCACTGGTGGCCATGAGAACCGGTGTGTGTGTGTGCGACAGCGGTGTGGGAAGCAAGTTAACCTTCACTAAACACTTCCTGTGAACCAAGGCACTAAGCTAGGCAAGGTCATGTCCATTCTTCCACAATTCTTGTAACTATCCCTTGTGGCAGGTGCTGTTACTCCCATTTTCCAGGTGAAAAAACTGTGGCTGAGTCCATACAAATGTGTTGGATTTCTACACTGTAGAATGGGTAATAAATACTTTCCCACCCTATTCCCTGGTCTGTGTTTTGCTGATGACACAGGCATCTGGTTAAAATCTCATTTGAAAGCTGTCATATCTGGCAATTCCCCTCCATATACCCTTCCCCAAGAGTTGGGTTTCTTTCTGCCTGGCTATGGAGAAAGTTTTGCCTCTAGCTCGTAGACTATGTCTTACCCAGAAAGCTAATTAATACCAACTGAACAGTGGAAGAAAAATGGAATTTAAAAATGTCAACAGCCAGGACTTGAGGACACAACTAGAGTATTGTGAAGGGGCGTGCGCTGTGGTGTGGCGTGTAAAGCTTCCACCTGCAGTGCCGGCTTCCCATATGGGCACCAGTTCTAGTCCCGGCTGCTGCACTTCTGATCCAGCTCTCTGCTATGGCCTGGGAAAGCAGTAAAGCAGTAGAAGACGACCCAAGTCCTTGGGCCCCTGCTCCCGAATGGGTGACCTGGAAGAAGCTCTTGGCTCCTGGCTTTGGATGAGCGCAACTCCAGCTGTTGTGGCCAACTGGGGTGTGAACCAGCGGATGGAAGACCTCTCTCTCCTGCTCCCTCTCTCTCACTGTCCGTAACTCTACCTCTCAAATAAATAACTAGGGGCCAGCACCGTGGCTCACTTGGTTAATCCTCCACCTATGGCGCCAGCATCCCATATGGGCGCCAATTTCTAGTCCTGGTTGCTCCTCTTCCAGTCCAGCTCTCTGCTGTGACCCAGGAAGGCAGTAGAGGATGGCCCAGGTGCTTGGTGCACCCGCATGGGAGACCAAGAGGAAGCACCTGGCTCCTTGCTTTGGATCGGTGCAGCCCCAGCCGTGGCGGCCATTTGGGGAGTGAACCAATGGAAGGAAGATCTTTGTCTCTCTCTCTCACTGTCTGTAACTCTACCTGTCAAATACAAAATAAATAAATGAATAAAATCTTTAAAAAAAAATAAAAAGAATTCTTCTAGCCACTCTGCGCTCTATCTGTGGCTCTGAAAGGGCTGTGGACCCCAGCCAGTCGCTTGCAATCAGTGGTAAAAATGGGCCTGCTGAACCAGGCTAAAAACCCAGGAGACCGGCTTCAGCTCAGACTGTGAGGATGTGCTCCTTAGCGCAGGGGAACGTGTGGAAGGAAGGCAGAATGTTCTCTCCAAAGACATCCATGTCCTGATCCTTGGAGACTGCGAGTGTGTTACATGGCAAAAGGAACTTTGCAGATAAAATTATGGTCAGGAACACAAAACAGACTATTTTGGATTATCTAATACCTTACTGCAGGAGCCCTTCCAGGTGTAGACTTCCCCTGGCTGGAGCTGTGAGAGATGACATAGACATGTAGGTCAGGGCGCTATGCTGGTAGGCGCTAGGGTATAACAGGTAAAGCCATTGCCTGTGATGCCAGCATCCCTTATGGGCACCTGTTCAAGTCCTGGCTGCTCCACTTCTGATCCAGCTCCCTGTTAATGCACCGGGGAAAGCAGCAGAGGATGGTCCAAATGCTTGGGCCCCTGCACCCCCGTGGAAGACCTGGAAGAAGCTCCTGGCTCCTGGATGCGGATCATCCCCGGCACTGCCCTTGTGTTCATTTGAGGAGTGAACCAGCAGATGGAGACCTCTCTGTCTCTCCCTCTCCTCCCTCTCTCTCTCTCTAACTCTTTCAAATAAATAACCCTTTTTTTTTTTTCCTTAAAATAAAGTGTGAGGTGTGAGAAGGACTCGACCTGGCATTGCTGGTTTGAAGGAAGCCATGAGCCAGGGAAACTGAGTGGCTTCTAAAAGGTGAAACAACTCCCTGCCGACAGCCAGTAAGGAAGGGGGCGTGCAGACGCACATTCTGAAACACCTGAGACTGGCTGGCTCTTCTCCCACAGAGCCTCAAGCTGAGAGCCCTGACCGGGTGGCTGATCAGGAGCAAAGAACCGGCTGAGCCTACTCAAGACTCCTTACCTACAAAACGTGAGACAGTTAAGACCGAGCAGGATGCCCACAGCCGATATCGGAGTGCCTGGGGGGAGTCCCAGCTCTGCTCCTGACTCCAGCTGAGACAGCAATGATGGTCAGGTTCCTGCACCCAATAGAAGATGAAGATTGGACTCCTGGTTTCCACCTGGCCCACCCCCAGCTGTTGCTGGCATTTTGGGAGTGAACTAATGGATGGAAGATGCCTTTCAAATAGATGAAAATAAATATTTGATCATATATAAATAAAAATCAGGTTTAAGATGTCTCTGTCTAGGGGCCGGCACTGTGGCATAGTGGGTTAAGCCACCGCCTGCAGTGCCAGCATCCCATGTGGGCTCCGGTTCTAGTCCTGGCTGCTCCACTTCTGATCCAGCTCTCTGCTATGGCCTGGGAAAGCAGTGGAAGACGGCCCAAGTCCTTGGGCCCCTGCAACTACGTGGGAACCTGGAAGAAGCTCCTGGCTCCTGGCAGCTCCTGCCGTTGTGGTCAATTGGGGAGTGAACCAGTGGATGGAAGACCTCTCTCTCTCTCTCTCTCTCTCTGCCTCTCCTTCTGTGTAACTCTTTCAAGTAAATAAATAAATCTTTTAAAAAAAAATGTGTCTTACTGCATAGAAAAATAAATGTAGAGTTATACTCCACAGGGCCACATGGGTTCCATTTAATTGGGATTAAAGGCAGTGTCTCCTTTTCCACTGGATGCAATTCCTGATCTCTTCACAATATGCATGTGTTATTTGTATAACAAAAATAAATGCAAAAAAAAAGTTTGCCAGACACGCCAGCCCCCCGTGAGCTTCCTGCATCACAGAGGGCTTGGGTGGGGTCAATTCTCAGAAGGGATGGGCCTGCTACTTAGAGATAAGCAGGGAGGGAGGGCCCAAGGCCTGAGATCTAGGAACCTGAGCAAGTGAACAGAGGTGCGGCCTCGTCCACTTTGCCAGAGACAGCAGGCAGGAGACGGCAGTGGGCCGGGAGGGGGAGGGAGGAGGCAGGGCAGATGCGCCCTGCGAGCGCTGGCTAAGAGGGCCGCAGCGGAGGGGCCGGGGAGGCAAGTCCTCCTCGGTCTCTAAGGACGGCTGAGGCCCGCCGCCAGAAGTAAAAATACGCAACCGCCGCAGCGGGGTTGACGCCAACTTCCGGCCTAGGGCAGGGGGCTCCCGGCAGGCGGAGCGGCCAGCTTCCCTGGGCCGCAGCCAAGGTCCCGCCTGCTTGTTGCGAGCGGAGGAGGCGGGCGCACAGCCCAGGCGCGGCTGCCGATTGGCCCTCCCCGAGCCGCCGACTGCTGATTGGTCGCCAGGGTGTGGCGGGGCCACGTGGCCTGCAGCGTCGTCTGCGGCCCGCGCATCCCGCGGGGAGTGAGGGGGGTCGCGGGACCGCATCAGGGAGTGATCCCAGCCTCGGCTGGAAGCTGCTGGGAGCTCCCCGGATCCGGCCTCGTCGACGCGCCGCGGGCGGGCCCCGCACTCTCCGGCCTTCTTGGGCCGGCGCCGAGCGGGTTGCTGCGGGGAGACGCGAGCCAGGCACCATGAGCGTGGGCTTCATCGGCGCCGGCCAGCTGGCCTGTGCGCTGGCGCGGGGCTTCACGGCGGCAGGTAGGCGCGTGGCGGCAGGCGTGGTAAACGGTCCTCCGCGTGGATGATTTGAGGCCAGTGGGGTTGATGAGACAGCTGTTAAGCGCAGGTGCGTCTTTGGTGCGCGCGGGAGGTTGACGGGGTGACAGAACCTGGCATTGCAGGCGACTGTGGGTTTTGATTCTGCGATCCCGGGGAAGGCGTGGGAACGGGGCGGGTCTGATCCCCCGCTGAGAAGGCATGAATTCTGCAGGCATCCTGTCGGCTCACAAGATAATGGCCAGTTCCCCGGAAATGGACCTGCCCACGGTGTCGGCGCTCAGGGTAGGCGGGGCTGGGGGTATGGGGGAGCGCGAGGGGGCTCAGGCCACGGATGGCTGGAGCTGAGCTGAGTCTGGCCGGGCCGTGGCGCCGCTCACCTCCCCAGCTGCAGCCTCACACAACTCTTCCACCTTCCCCGGGGCAGCGCTTGGGGTGGGACATAAAGGGACCCAGCGAAGGACTCATTTTCCCTCAGACCAGAGTTGTGTGATTTTACAGTCTGCGCTCACCCGGAGGCTGCTTCTTCATGTAGAATAATAGCCGCTTTGTTGTTACTCCAAGGCACAAAGAGGAAAGAACGCTGCAAATGAGTTGTTTCTCTTTCCACATAAAATCCCGACTCTTCACCCAAACTCTGAGCCCTGGGGGAGAGGGTGGGTAATGAGGCAGGGGACAGGGTGACTGCCTAGGATGGGCCAGTGTTCCCAGCGCGGGGAGACCCTGCTCCTCAGTTGGCCGTCTTCTGGCCCACATGGAGGCCGTATGGTCAGATGAACAAGGAGCTGGAGTTGGAGTAGGGCCTGACCCACCTCTGCCCCACCCACTGGGTGCTGACGTGTCTGCTTCCCTGTGCCACGTTCCACCATGCAGAGGGTGCATTAGGTGTTGGAACACTGTGTGTGTAGGGGGGGAATAGCTGCTTCCTGGTTGCCATGGAGAAGTTTTACAGGACTTCTGC